ATTCCGCAGGCTGAAGCTTTGCGGTTGATGTTCCACTTTCATCCTCAACAAAAAAAGGGCCCAGTCTAAGAAAGTAATTATCATGTTGGCACCTTTTTGTTCCGATATATTTGTAACCTACGGGTGAGGTAAATGGCTTGAGATTTGCTGCAGGATGGTCTGAACCCATACTGTGTGTCACACAAGCGTTCCTAGAGGACAGCTCGCATACGGTTTCTAATCATGATCATGTATATCTTATCAAAAGAGTTCAATAATGAAATAGGGCGATAGTTTTCGGGCAGGTCAGTGTTTCCCTTTTTGAAGATTGATACCATCCTTGCAGCAAAGACATCCTCTGGCGCACACTTGTGGACCCACCAATGATTGATCAAGTTAAGTATCCAAGTCCAGTTGTTGGAGTCCATCCACTTGAATAATTCCATCATTAGTCCGTCCGGTCCCGCTTGTTTGTTCTTCTTGGCTGTTCTTAGCGCAGATTCATACTCTTCAAACGTGAAACGTTCTGTGCTGAATTCTTGCTGCAGGGCGTGTATGGATCAGGGGATTGAAGCACACGTTTTGAATGATGGAGAAACAATAGTTGTGGAAGATTCAACACAAATTGAAATATCAAAAAAGGAAGGAAGTCTCGGCAACGTATGCGATGGCTGGTCTTCTCCGGGCAGCGTTTAGGAGAACAAATCTTTGGTCGGACCTGTTACACAATACCTTGCCAACTTTTGGCAAAGAAATGAAAAACATAATACCAGTTTTTGCATCTTTGCAAACAAGGCTGTCCTAGCCCCAGTGTTTGCTAGCTGGGGATGGTCAGGATGATGTTGGTGGCGGTGGTGGTGGTGCTCTGGTGCTCTTGTGCTCTGGTGCTCTGGTGCGTGCTGCTGCTGCTGCTGCTGGTGGTGGTGGTGGCGGCGGTGGTCGCCATGGCCACGGTCATGGTCATGGTGATGGTGATGGTGACGCTGATAATGGTAATTGCGGTGGTGATGGTGATGGTGATGGTGATGGTGATGGTGATGGTGGTGATGATGATGATGATGATGATGCTGATGATGATGATGGTGATGAAGAAAACCATTGATGATGATGATGATGATGACGATGATGGAAACAAGGATGGGAGTGAGGAGGGGAATCAGGAGGAAAATGAGAAGGACGCGGGGGACGATAACAAGGATGATGACAACGATGATGACGAGCATGAAGGTGATGATGAGGAGGATGAGGAAGATGAGGAGGAAGAGGAGGATGAGGAGGAGCGGTGCTGCTGTCTGAGCCGACTATCCTCCGTCTAGGCTGGTGCTCCTTATTAAAAGCCCTATTTGAATGGCCAGTGAGCAGGGAAGGCATGTGAAGCTTTCTGCTCAAATTCAAAACATAAGGGATTGCCTTTTGCATGGCCAAGAAAAGAACAAAGGTACATGCGCGAACATAAGCGTAGCACGACAGGATCCAGCCCTAGGTGCAAAAATGCCTTGTATTAGGCAACACCCCGCTACATCGACAAAGAACATGGTCGGGTATTTTCGCGCATTGGTCATGTTTGCTTTTTCTTTCTACAATGTTGTCAATGAGATGCAAGCAGGACAGAAGTTGCCAAGAATGCTGGCAGAAATTAAATTCAAATCTATACGTGGCAGAAACCCACTTGCGCTGTATGAAGCCCGAGAATTGCGTCCACCCCAGCCCCTCGGGGGGGGGCCCTAATCCAAGCTGTGCTGTTCAATACTAGCTTGAAGGTGGGTGTAGAACATGCTGCACAGGTGTCGCAAGAAAACCCTGTGACACAAAAATCCGGCAAAAAAAATACCACTCCGTAGGCCCCAAAACAGTTTTTCCGTATCCGTTGCAGCATCTGCGTGCATGTTTATGGTTACACAATTGTTTAGTCCATCTCAATTAAGAACAGCATGAATCACAAGCAATTTTTCATGCTATTCCCGAGAGCGCCTGCGAAGGGTTCTTCGTAAAAAAGCAGCCGTTATACTAGATCTTCACACCTTCACACCTGCAGATCTAGATCTTCACACTCTCACATCTGCAGATCTACATCTTCACACCTTCACATCTGCTGATCTAGATCTTCACACCCTCACATCTGCAGATCTAGATATTCACACCTTCACACCTGCAGATCTAGATCTTCACACTCTCACATCTGCCGATCTACATCTTCACACCTTCACACCTGCAGATCTAGATCTTCACACCTTCACACCTGCAGATCTAGATCTTCACACCTTCACACCTGCAGATCTAGATCTTCACACCCTCACATCTGCAGATCTAGATCTTCACACCCTCACATCTGCAGATCTAGATCTTCACACCTCCACACCTGCAGATCTAGATCTTCACACCCTCACATCTGCAGATCTAGATCTTCACACCCTCACATCTGCAGATCTAGATCTTCACACCTTCACACCTGCAGATCTAGATCTTCACATCCTCACACCTGCAGATCTAGATCTTCACACACTCACATCTGCAGATCTACATCTTCACACCTTCACACCTGCAGATCTAGATCTTCACACCCTCACACCTGCAGATCTAGATCTTCACACCCTCACATCTGCAGATCTAGATCTTCACACCTTCACATCTGCAGATCTCTTCTCGCTCTTCTTCTATTTCTCTCTTAAGGCGGGGGCGGGCCGCCGGAGCGCCACGAAACGCAACCCTTTCGCACGAAATGGACGTTGGACGTCCAAAACCTAGGTAAAATTGCGATTTTGAAGCGTCG